ATCTTGACCTGCGGGCAAACGAGGAGCGTATCAAGCTGCTGCTGCGGGACCAGGAGCAGCTGCAGAAAAAGTTAGCAGGGAATGAGCCTCTGAGCCGCATCAATTTGAAGGAGGAGTACGACGCGCTGAAGAGCTTTGTGGACGGCTCTCTTAAGCCGCAGATATCGCGGCTGAAGCGGATGAACGGGGAGAAGGATCTTGACCTGCGGGCAAACGAGGAGCGTATCAAGGAACTGTTGAATGAATGTGCTCAAAAAGGTGCACTAAGTGTTTCTAGGAGGCCCGGTGTTTCGAGCGTTGTGGTGGGAGGGGGTGATGAGCGTCAGATTCTTGTGAATGCTTTGATTGATGCGGAAGAGAGTGCTCACATACGCCAGTCTGACCTTTTGGCGTTTGTGGATTTGTTGCAGAATGCAGCCGATCGAAATGTTGTGGAGAAGGAGGAGCTGTTGTCTTTGTTAGAGAGTGTAAGAAGTGAACTTCGTAGTGTTTTGAATGAAAGAGACAAGGCACTGTCTGATGTATTATTTTTGCAAGGAGAGTGTGTTACCTTGCGAGAGCAGTTGTGTAGGAGGTTCCTTTCGCAGTTTCCTGTTGGCGAGCGAAAGCTTTTGGAGGCGTACCTTGTTGAGGTGCAGCGCAGACGGGAGGCGGAGAATGGATTGTATCGTGGGCTCCACCAACGTGGAAGGGCATTGCAGTGAAGTGACTGCTGGAACTAAAGTGCTGGACGATGACGCTGCTGCTGGCGACTTGGAGCGGCCTTATGTATTTGTCCCTGTTGGAGACGTAGAGGTCGTTGAGGATGTACTGCGTTTGGTATTTGAAGACTGCAATACAGCGTTTGAAGGAGTCTGGGAGTTACATTGAAAAGTTGCATGTCTTCTCCCGGCATTAGTTGCTAGGCTACTGCAGACGGTTTTGAAGGGTGAGTATTAGCTGCATGTAGGCAGGGAGATGCTGGAGAATGCCCTTGATGCTTGTTTCGCGATGTTGTGGTCGCGACACCATCGGCTTCTTCAGCTGATGTGTAGCAAAAGGACAGAAAAGGAAAAGGAAAAGTGCGAGAGTTATGCGTACCGAGAGATTTGACTGGTATTGCACCTAACGAGCTGCTACTACCGGCTTATGACAGCAATCACCCATGTATGTACCAACGGCCTTCTTGTTTGTATGTGTGTATTTATGTTTGATTTTGCGTACGAGTCAACCTCTTATATTTATCTTGAATGCAAGCAGAAGAAGAAGAGGCGGGTGTTTGTGTGTTCTGCCAGTATGTTTTTATTGTTTACCTGGGGACGACGACTGATGTTGTGCCGCGTTGCAGTCGAAGGTGGTGGAGGCGAGGCGGAATCCGCCACCAGGTGAAGGTCGCAGTGCAAAAAGAGCGTTGCGATTAACAGAGATTGGTGGAGAACGCCGCACACCTGAGCGGCAGATGTCCCACGACGGCAGATTGCTTCAAAGCGTTTGGAGCAGTGAAACGGCGCAACAAAGTCAAGGTTACAGACTGCGCTGAACACGGTACCAGTTTCATTCCTTTTGAAGAATGACCCGCTGATCAAAGCGTGCCTACCCCTCCCGCTTGCACCCACCTACTGTTTGTCTCGCTACCATGTGTTAGCTAACAAAAGGAAAAAAACACCAAGCAGGTGCACATCCAATACAACCGATGCTTATGTATTTGTGTTATTTCTTGTCTTTTTCATATTGCATATAGTGACTAAGTTCACCTGCTTAAGAGGAATCCATCTACAGCCACCATCATTTACGGCGCCGCCTCTTCACAACTTCTAGAAATATTGAGGCTGGCACACTAATAATTACGGCATTCTGCAACGCAACCCACGTGTGCCACCATTGTGGTAACATCTTCCAAGATGTATTTACTTCAACACTGAAAAGATGTTCCACTGCTTATGTTGAGTCCAACGGTGTGTGCTGCTGTTTCCCTTCTGTACGGCCTCCCCTCCGCCTCTTCTTTGCCGTGCAGATAAGTATACCTGCTTAAGTGACTAAACAGCCTGTGATGATGATGATGCGCCGTTCGCTGGGCGTCCTGTTGGTGCTTGCCGTCTGCTGCTGCTGCTGCTGCTGCTCTCTCGTGACGGCTGCTGTGGCAGAGGTGCCGATGGAAGTTTCGTGTGCAGGCGGTGCTGTGCGTGTGAGGCGTCCCGGTGAAAGCGGGTGGCATACGTGTGTGGCTGACGGCGTGGTGCCGTGCAGGAAGTACGCGGCGGTGTGCAGGCATGCGGCAGGGCGAAATACGGCTGTCACTGCCAACGACATTGAATTTCAGCAGTTGGAA